CATTCTTGGGGAATATTGAAGTCATGAGAGATGGAGGAAAGCAGCTTACCTTAAAGAGCTTGTAAAGAACAGGTTATTAGGGGAGATAGCTGAAAGACAAATCTTACTAAGAGGTACAATGAATAGGAAGTTATGGAGAGTAATGATTACTCATGTCCTGAAGGGACACAGCACATAAAAAAGAAGAACTGTTTAATGTGGCTAATATTTTTGCTGTTACTGCCTAGTTAGAAAAATAGTTATGACAGAATGGTTTGCACATTTGACCACTTTCTTTTCTAACATAGAATGCTAGATATAAAACATTTTTGTCAAGATATCTAGCAGTTGGAAAGTTACAGGGATGTGGATTCATGCCTTTCCAAAGGGCATTAGTTTGAAGTGGACATAAAGAGCTTAGGATCAGAGGTTACTTTTAGTGCTTAAAACAGACAAAAATGTCAATGGCACATTTATTGATTGATTGTTCTGTTTTAATGGCATATCAACTCTGTCAGTTATTTCATGCTGAAAAGAGTTTTGTTTTGTTTTTAAATAAGGCTTGTAAACAATCATTTGGGTTGTTGGTTCAATCACTCTCCAGTTATGCTTCTAGAACAGAATTAGTTAGTGTTATAATTTGTGGTATAGACCAGCTTCTTTTGAATAGGCTGTGATAGTCTCTACTTTTATCTTCTTGAAGAGGTCATGTCATAATTGACAGGTCACTACAATTGTTTAGACTATATTTTACAGTCTATGTCTCCTGGCAGGCTGTGAATTCTGGAGGATGTTCATTTTTTAGGAGAGTGAGTGATATAGGTGTGTCCTATTCTGATTCTTGACAGGACAAATTTTGCCTCCTGAGAAAATCTGAGACCATGATGTCATTCTCCAAAATAGGTTTAATTTTGTAAAGTTTATTTTTTGTGTGGTAGTTGTCTTCTGAAATGGAAAAGCTAACATGGTAGCAAAGGAATCCCTAATAATATGAAAATCCCCTATACAACCTTCAAAGCAACTATAAAATCATAGATTCTAAACAAAAGAGTTATGGAATTATATTTATTGAAACTTAAAGGAATTATATATTTGAGGTAAGTAAATTGTTTACATTGATTTTCTGTCAGCTTAATGAAAGGTTGAAAAGCTGAGGCACTTGCAATAGAAGCTAACAAGGCAAAAAGAATGTACACAGGGAGGAACAGAATGTTTGGAGAGAGAATTTTCATTACTGCCTTTTCAGCTTTGTCATTATTCTGAGAGAAAAAAAGAACAATTATTTGTTGATTTTTAATCTAATTATTTTGTAATTTCAAGGGAAATTAACAAAGAATTTTAATTGTTCTGCTAAAAGAATTAAAATGATTCAAAATGTTTGCAAAACAAAAGAAAAAATATGTCAGGTAAAATTTATCAAACAGGCTTTCTTTCATTAGTTGAAAAAGAAACATTTTGATGAAATCATAGTTAAAAGGAATTTTATACAGTCATATCAAGAGAGGTGAATGGATCTTTTTTTTCTTTTCAATATATCTTTATCATATTTGTATTTATCTAATAAATATATTTATATTTTAAATATACATAATTTGCGATTCCTGCTATCTTATCAACATCTGCTTTTTTCTGCTTACATTTATATACATTACAAATTAAACTAAGCACAGCTGACTGTTAAAAGATTACAAATTTTTATGTAATTCTGAGGTCATTTTAATCTTTGTCCAAATCTGTGAATTTGTTTTGCTCATATTAATTCTTGAAAGAACACTACATAAAATTCACTAATTTTTAGCCATAACTTTGAATGCCTTAAAAATATTCAACTTTTTAAGAAGAAAAATCTCAAGATGATAAAAATTGCCACAAAATATTGTTGATTTATTTAAGATGGAATCATCTATTATGACATGTCCCTAATTTGTATTCAGATACATTGTATTTATTTCCAATTTTTCTAGTTGAATTGTTCCCGTATATTGTATATGATCCATTATTGTACATAATTAAGTTACCATAAAATTTGTATTTTATAAGTTTACTACTTTATGAAAATTGAGATGATGTAGAGTCTCTCTCTCTCTCTCTCTCTCATACCGATTCAGGGGTGGGGCATGAGACCTTTGCATGGGCCCTGATTATAAATATATATAAATTATTTATAAGGCTGAATTCAAGCATAAAATAAAATCAGGCATGAAGTTTTAATGTCTATGATAGAAGTCATTGTAAGATGAATAATATGGGATAACCTTCATCATGTCTGATGTAGAATGTGCAGAGAGAAAATATTTGACAGCTTTTGGGTCAGTATTATCATGAAGACAAGACTTATGACCAACCATTTTAACTGGAAAAAATTGTTGAGTCATTTCAAGGTGGAGTAGTTATGGTTCAAATGTCATGTGAAACATGATCAACTGTATCCTAAATGGAATATTGACTGAGAATCTAAGGTCTTGTGAAGAGGTCAAGCTTCAAAATCTACTTGAAAGATCAAGGTCAGTGTTGTCTTTTTAAAAAACGCAAACAGAAATCATTAAATTTATCAAAAAGGAAAAATATGATCCATAGTAAAAAGGTTAAATTAAAATTGGTAAGGGAAGTAATGTTACTTTCTTTTGTTTCATAAAGCATAAAATATTTCTCAATGGATAAGCAAGATGTATATGATTTATTTTCTCTTGCAGTATTAAAATATCTGAATTACTTTTTATTAGTAGGCAAAGATACACCATAGAATTTCTACAGTCCAACTACTACCATAAGTCTTTTTCACAGATTTTTTAGGGATGTTTCCAGCATACTGATGGATACATGAATAGCATAGTTAATAGTGCAGAAAGTGGGATCGATATGCAGAGTTCAAATTCTAGCAAAGGTTGTTGCATTCACTTCATCTATGGATCAAATAGCAGGGAAGACTGGCCTCTTTAGCCCTAGTTGGCAACCAGTCTAGAAGAAGGATAACTCTGATTTCCAAACTAGTTGGGGATGGGGCTGGAAACTCTATCCTATAATAAGCCTACTTGCTATGGAAACTACAACAGTAACACTAGTATGGTCAGTCAGTCAGTCTCTGTTTCTCTCATCAGAGCACTGAAAACATTCCTGAAGAGTCTAAGGAAGAGACTGAAGCAACTGTAATTTTAGGGAAGAATTGGAACCTTCTGGATGAGGAGCAAGAATAAAGAGGAGAGTCCTGGAATATTGGTGAGATTTATTGTCACTAAATTTCTAGTATAGACCAACAGTTACTATTGAAGTGAACCCTCAAATAATAACAGCCACTGCTGTCACCATTATCATAGGAATGGTCCTGAAGGGCTTAGGGAAATAAATGGTGGAAGTGGAAATTAAGAAAAGAATTGGAACTTTCCAGGCAATGGAATTAATGAAAACAGTCTGACTACCAAGGAGAGTGCAGAAGTATTGAAGAGATTTCAGTGTAGGCCACCACTTACAACTGGTGAACACTTACAGAATAATAATAATAATAATAATAATAATAATAATCTGGTATATCTATCTGTGGATGCTGCTATCAGGTTCATGTATGGAAGAATTGAAAAGAATAAAGAAAGTAAAATTTTGCAAATTAACTCTCTCTATATATGAGCAAATGTGTGGGGAATAAATTCAAATACTGTATTATGATCATTGTTGTTGATAAAAACTGGAGATTAATTTTAATTAACAATAATGGCTGATTTATTTATTAATCAATCTACATCCTCTGGTATTGATCAAAAGCCATGCATTGCAGATATGTGTAAATGATTGGGTGTAGATAACAAGACAAAAGTTTGTATATAACAAAAGATTGCAAAAATATTTATCTGCTAATTAATTCCCAAATTTATTCAGATAGCCTGATCCTCTATTGAAGATTGAAACATCTTTGATGCTCATTTTAATTAACTAACAATAATAAGCCTGTTGCTTACACTGCCCCACATCAACAGAAAGCCTGATGAGATCTTCCTGTCTATCAAGGAATTAGGAACAAATGTAATGTGCTTGGCTTTTGCTAGAACAATGGGAAGGCATAAATTCTTCCTGCTATTACAGCAAATCCCAAAACTCCCAAGTTCTTATACAGAAAACCTGATAAGATTTTTTGTCTACCAATGAATTATAACAAATGTAATGTGCTTAGGTTTTGCAACAATGGGAAGGTATCAATTCTTCCTGACATTACAGAAAATCCAAAACCTCCCAAGTTCTTACACTCTCATATATCCATGATCAGATAAATAACCATCAATATAATGTTTTTCTATTTTCTTCCACAAAAAGTAGAAAAAATGAAATCAGTCTATTATTGATAATATTGATTATTACTGGAAATACTTTATTTCATCTAATTTCAAATATTATGCAATAACATTTGACAGAAGAAAACAGTTTTTAGAGAAGTTTTCTTTATTTAAGCCAAGTTCTAAAAATCAAAGAAAAAACAGTTAACAATCTAGATCACTTCAGGTCATTTTGATTAGGAATTGTACTCCCCTTTTGGCAGAGGTAAATGATCCTTGAGGACCTGGATCCAAAACGGTTAATGATATGAAGCATGCAACAGATATTTAGTTCAGGCAATCACTCATCTCTTATGTTGAATTTATTTGAGGTTTGAAGACAAATAAAATGAATATTCTCATGACTTGGTATCTAACAGCATTGCAGCTTTTATGCCCATGGAAAGATGAATTAAAACATTGGTGTTCTTACTGCAGGAGAATACCCCCTGCCCTTGGAATCTCCCCTCTCAGACAGGACACCAAATGTTGGAAACCACTGCAGGTGGGAAGCATGTTCATTGCTGCTCTCACATGTAAAGAGGGCACAGTTATGCCACAGCAATTCTTCCCAACCCTCAATCCCTCCTGGCAAGGAGTTACAATGTAACATAACTTCTGATGCAAGTTGTCATGCAACAGTCAAATCCAAAAGATGAAATCAATACTGTGCTGTGTGATAGAAAGAGGGAGGGAGGATGACAAAGGAAGCAGGAGAGATTAATGAAGGAGTGAAGAGGAAAGAAAAGAAAAGAGAAATATGAAGAAAGAGGATAATGGGAAAAAGAGAGAAAAGACAATTAGAAAAGAATAGGAGGGAGGTGAAATATAAACACTAAGGAGGAGGGGCATAGTAAGAAAAGAGAGGAAGGAGGAGGCCGTGAGTAAAAGAAGAATGAGGAAGGAGCAAAAAGAAGGCATGAAAAAAAGTATGATGAAGGATAGAAAAAGAGAAAGGATGAGGAAAAAGAAGCATAGAATTAGAGAGGAAGGATAAAATAGAAGAAACAACAGGTGTAGGATGTTGAGAAAGAAAGAGAGGAAGAAAAAGAGAGTGAAAAAAGTGAAAGGAAAGAAAAGATGAGAGAACAAAAAAAAAGAAAACTAAAGCAAAGAAAGGAAGGAAAAATAAAGCATTGAAATAAAAAGTAACTTGTGATAATAACAGAAAGAGAAAATAAGAAAAGACAAAAGCAGGTATAAAAAAGGGGTGTGTAAGAAAAGAAGAGTGAAGAAAGGTGAATAATGAAACTGGGAGGGGATAGCGGTGGGGAGAAGGGTATAGAGAAGAGTGGGTCAGGGCCATGCAATGAGTTGGTTGTGAGAATGATATGGATTAGGAGGTGCATAAGAGAAGAGAGAAGAATTAGAGGAATAGAATATATGGAGAAGGGAGAGGAATAAGAAAACAATGGGATTTTTTGAGCACACTGATATCTATATGGGTCATGTAGTGCAAAGCATTATTTATTTTTACACTGAAAAGTATATAATGACATAAAATATCACCTGTCACCTCTTCTGATAGAACTGATGTGACAAAAAGATACATTCCTCTGTCCACATTTAGAGATTGTGAGAACATCACAGAATAATGATAGCATAATTGCTAATGAAGAAATACTATTTAGCAAACAAGATTGTCCCTTTTTTTATAAAGCTTCTGCCAAATCAAGCATATATCATTATCTGTATACTCTAGAAGGACACAAGGAGGAGACAGAAGATGGAGAACAGGCAGAGAGGATGCAGTTAAAGGATTGGGAGAGGAGGAAAATAGATATGAAGTGAGATGAAGGGGAGCTGTTAGTTGGGTGTGAGAGAAAAAAAGGAAGATTGATGTTGGAATAGTGGTGGTGGTAGTGGTGGAGGTGGTCCAGAAATGAGAGGGATGAGGAAGGGGAGAAACAGAAGAAGAAAAAGAAGAAAGATACATTGGTGTAGCATGGTGTGGTGTTAAGTTCTGACGATTGAAAAGTAGGTTAGCGAAAAGCGCAAAACACAGAGGGGAAGTCAAGATTGAACAAAGTGCAAAAGTAAAATTGAATCAATTGTAATAAATTCAAAAATAAAATTAAAGCAAACAACAAATAAATGTGCTAAAAATTTTGAAAAAATCTACAAAAACCATTGATTCAATCCAGAACAAGATTGTTCACTGTCATGGATGACAATTTTCAACAGTGACCATGACACATGACCCAAAGCTTCTGATTGGTCGATTATGGGCTCAGCAAAAGAGTGATTGAGTAACAACAGAGGAATGGAGGTGGAGATGCAGAAAAGGGATTTTTCAGCCATTTTTGTTCTCATTAGTAAAAGATTTGGGTTTGACAAGAGGGTTGAAAAATTTGAAACAATAACTTAGAAGAAAGAAAAACCAAAAAAAAAAAAACAATGTATTTAACATGTCAGTCACATGAGTTAACCAACTGCAAAAAGATTATTTTTAAATAACCAGGGACTTTAGGTGAAATTGCAGCCCCATTCCTATATATGTTAGATAGATAGATAGATAGATAGATAGATAGATAGATAGATAGATAGATAGATAGATAGATAGATATGTGTGTGTATATAAATGGCAAAAGTAAAATTGGAAAGAAATGAAGTATGAGATCAATTTTGATACTTGCTGAAAAAAGGTTGGGCTGCATCAGTCTTCCAAATGGGGAGGTACTGCTGTTTCACCTGGACTATAGGGCCATTTACTAAGCTTAAGCATGGCGTTAGGCCAAATGAGTGGAAATTGGGTTACAAAGATTGTGCCATATTAATCTTCAAACTGCAGATGGCCAAATTAGAAAAGAACAAAGGGCAAAGCAAAAAAGAGAGAATGAAGAAAAATGAAACAAGCAAGAAAGAAACAAGTAAAAAGTCTGATTTGTAAAAATTGAGAGATAGAGAGAAGCAATAACACAAAAGAAAGAAACAGATAAGAGAAAGAATGTGAAAAAGCAAGTGAGAAGAGAAATAGAAAGATAAATAGGAAGAAAAAAAGAGAGATAAAAAAGAGAAGAAACAGAAAATAGCAAGAAATAAATTGAGGCTAGCAAAAGCTAAAAAAGGAGAAGAATTGAAAAAGAAGAAAAGAAATAATTACAGAAGAAAATCAATGTCAACTGATGAAGAAAATAGAAAAGAAAAAAAGAAGAAAGACTGATGAAAAAGAAATAATAAAAGATAAAGTAAAGTAAAAGAGAGGAGGAGAGTTGGAGAGAAAAAAATTAGATATGTAAATAAAAAAAACTACTGGAAGAAGCATAGCAGGGAAATGAAAAAATAAAAATAAAAGAGGATAGGAAAGAATACAGTTAAAAAAAAGATAGAAAGAAAAATAAAGAAATGAAAAATCATGGAAAGAAAGAGAGAGAGAAAAAAATGAAAAAAGCTTTTCAAAAATATATTCACACACATTTACACTTGCATTGCAGATTAAGTAAATGTTCATGTCATGATTTGATTAACAAACCTTACAGTAAAAGTTCAAGATTGCCTCAAGGGAGGGAATAAGAAAAATGACACAAACAAATGAAAAATTTGTAAAAAGAAACAAGAGGTTTGCTAATGCTTTTGATATTTTTATAAAAGATATTTTATTTAATTTATTATTATTATTATTATTATTACTATCCTCTTTCATTCATTGCCATTGTATTTTGCCAAATTCTCAGAGATTCGGTTTCATGAATTTTTGGATTCTGTTAAATAAAAGTCAACAAGTCTAAACAACAGAAGCATACAGCATTTCCTTGAATACCAACCCTGAAAAAAAAAAAACAACAACACAGGGAGGGGAGGAGAACAATAGTTTACAGAAGATCTCAAGAACTCAGCATAACTGAACTGAAAATAGAGGTCAATAAGAGCATTTTTTTTAATCATTTCACCCCAAGCAGGGTGACAATGCCACAAGACACAGGGGGTTACATGGAGTGAATGAGAATGAGAAAACTTAGAATGGGGAGGATTGAGGAAAGGACAAAAAAAGGAACAGGGTTCAAGAAAACAGAAGATGGTAATTGACATTGCACTTAAATTTTTGAAGATTGTAGTTATCAGGGAAGCAAGAAATTGGAAGGGAGTTCTAGAGGTGCAAGAAAATAAACTGTTAGAGTAGAAGTGCTGGCTGTATCTATTTCAACAGTAAAACAGCAAGACCTAGTTGCTAAGCTAGTAGCACACTTAAATTCATGTAGTTGGGGCACCAGGAAAAAAAGCTCATCAGAACAGTTTTTTTTTATGGCACATCAACCTCAATGGGTCATTTAATGCCAACAAAGTTTGAGAATAAGTTTGTAGAAATAAAATAAACATTCTTTGTAGGATAAGTTTGGTACAGGACTAAATGTTGTAGGTACATATAGTTGGAATATCATCAGAACAGTTGCCATAAAAATATTTGTAGAAAAAGAGAGGGAGGCCATGTCATATTGGTGAGAAAGTGACTAAAGTCAAGATGTTTGGTCAGTTTCAATTACATTACAGACCCTTCTTTTGATTTTGTTACAAATTTCAAGATATGCAGTAGGTGCACCAGACCAGATATGGCAACAGTATTCATTGCACGGATGAATGGTATATTTATAAATGCACAAGATGGATCCTGACAAGAAAAAATTTCTGGCATGAGACAGTGGAACCAACTTTCCTTGCAGTAGATGTAGAATGACAATTTTGAAATTATTTAATGCTTTTTCTGCTGAAGACCCTTTCAAATACTGTTACAAACTTCTAATTTTCAATCAATAAAAAAAGGTAAAAAAAGGAAATCCAGGATAATAGTGCTGCCCATGAGTCCTTCTCATCTTTCTTCAATGAGTTGTGTCCCTTCAGGACAGTAGTGATCATGGCTTTCTACAATTCTCTGTCCTTTGTAGCACTTAGTAAATTTTCTCTTTTTGTTATCTCATCTAATTCCTGTTCTGCCATTTATTTACACAAACTCACTCAGGTTATGTATTGTTTTCTTCTTACCTTCAATCCCTCCTGTGAGTATCAAATTTTCCAAGTTCTCTTTCCTCATTATCTGTCCTAGAAATTTTAGCTATCTCTTCCTGATGTTAAGTACAAAGTGCTTTTTGTTTCTATTTTCTCAAAAACTTCATTGTTGCTCACATGTTTGGTCCATGGTATTCTCAGTATCCTTCTGAAGAACCACATAGTAATTCATAATGAACACAGACAAAAATGGGTCCCATGGTAGATGGCAAATGATCAGCTAGTAACCAGCTGGTTTCAAGAACATTCAAATTGTATATGAATATGGAGAAGCCCAGGAGAAGAAATGGATTGACAATATAACTATCAATAAGAGATTCAGGAATGCAGTTTTACATTGCTCATGTTACAGTTTTGTAAATGTTTTCTTTTTCTCTTTATTTACTTTTTTATACTATTATTCACTCAATACAAAACTCAAGAACCACTCAGAGTATAGTGTTACTTAATGAGGTTGCATACCAGAAAAGTGTAAGAAATGCATATCATGAGGATATGTAGGATAGATAATAGTTGACCTTAAACTTGATGAGGTCAAAAAAATTGTGAAAGTATATTTTCAGGAGTCTTTTCTACAATTTAACAGTCCTGGCAAAGAAGCTATCTAAATGGAACTTCCTCCTTACTCATGGAATATGAGAAGAATGAGGATGAGCTGACTGAGTGTATGTGGCATGGTAGATCTTGTGAAGGTCTGGACTAATAGAACTAAGGAATGTATCAATGTTTCATCTGTGGTAAAGGGTAGTAGGGTAGAAATAATTTATCAGCTACAAGGTTGTGTAAATACTTTTGAACTTGTCTGGAAAGATTGGGCAGCCCAAATATAACAGTAATACTCCATTTTTGCTCTGATAGGGATCTTGTAATGATAATGCATAGCAGGTGAGATCAAAAGTCCATCCAAACAAACACAGTCAATTGCTTGTCCCTCAATCATTTTGCCTGAGTACTCACTTACCCCCTTGAAACCAAATTCCTATAACTAAAGACAGCCACAACCCTTTTTTTAATCATATCATCCCAAGTAAGGCAATAAAGCCACAAAGACATAAGGGGTTACTGACTGTGAGAGAATATTAGGAAAAAAAAACATTATAAGGAGAGAGAACAATTAAAGAACAGGAATTAAAAAGATAGAAGATAACAACTACCACTGCATTTAACTTTTTGAAGATCAAACATGACAGAAAAACAAGAAGCTGGAAGAGAGCTCTACAAGCAAGAAGTGCAAGAGAAGAAACTGTCAGCATAGAACTTACTGTTACATCTAGCCATTTCAACTGTAAAATGATAAGGCCTTGCTGCCAACTCCAACTATATGATAAAGCTGATACATGTGTGTATTTTCCTCATATCTTTCTATACAACTATGATACAATACCAACCCCTATATATATGATATAAACTGGAAACAAATTCTAATTATTTTTTGTATATGACTCAAGGCAACAGTATAAATAAACCCTCCTTGCCACCTTAACAACACTTCATATCTATTGTCATATGTTACTTCTCATTACTTTTCTACTAGCGGGAGTTATAGCACCCTAGACAACATACTTGAATAAGGCCCTTTAGTACTTGTTATTACTGAAGTTTCCACAAAAAGCCACACCTTATTTCAGAAATTCATATTTTAAATCATCATAACCTGCTTTTTTTAAGATCAAATACATTTTATTTTGAATGAAAAAATATCACTTTATTCCCAATTTATACTCCTTCCCCGTCTATTGAACAGGAGTAGAGGTTTATCACTTATTTCCTGTTTAGGATTGGGTTTCCAGTTCCTTCTAAAGATTTCTTATTCTCTTTCACTCCCAGTAACTCCATGCATCTTAGTGGCATTAACACCATGTTTAGGATGAAATGATGAAAAAAAATCTAATAGAATAAAATCTTCAAACAGTAACATTTTAATTTTGTAAGAAATGAATGGATTTTTTGTTAAAGCATGCTGGGAAGTAAACTTAGTGAAAATTTGAATTCAAATCTTTTAAGTTTTTAAATGTAAATGCTACAACTGAGCTATGCCTGCAAAAAAGTAAAGTCGCTTTATGAAAGCTTAAATAGCCAATATAAAAATTCTGTTATCAGAATTCTTAAATATTTAAGCTCAGGAAAAAAGAAAGATTTTGCTTTGATTCAGTTCCAATTCATCATTCTGCCAGAAGTCTGAATAATGTGAGCTAAGCAAACATGCAACATGAAACTCATTTTATGTCATCAGTTTTCTCTTTGAAGGGCAAGCTTGGTTAGACTGACAGCTGATGGGGTTGGCTCAAATGTACCATTTTTTTTAAACGGCTAGCTCTGAATGCTGATTTCATATTTCCACTGATCAAAACATCAGCCAAAAAAAAAAAAAAATACTGATGCAGTGCCTTTTTAGTAAAGGACCAGCATTTCTGCAGATTGTGTTCAACTGATGCTGAAGCAGGAAGCGTATCAAGCAGGGAAGTTTCTTGGTCCGTAGGTAATCCAAATGGATTGTCCACTTCTGACAGAATAGTCTGACAAATTGGTGGGTTGTATTAGCCAAAAGTCCAGGACTTAGCTCTGTTTAGACAGAATCAAGTAGTGTGGTTTATGATTGAAGACTTAGATCTTGAATGATAAGAAGAGGGAAACTAAAATGAAAAGGAAGGGAAAAAAGAAAGAAAAATAGAAGATAGAAGGAGAGAAGGACATAGAAGTGAAAGGAGAAAGAAGAGAAATGAATGTAGAGAAATGAAAGAAAAGAAATGAAATATAGAAATGAAGTTTTTTTATATATATATATATATATATATATATATATATATATATATATATATAGAGAGATACATAGGGGTTGGCTATGACAAATAAAGGAAAATAAGATAGATAAATAGATAAGGGAACTGGTATATACAGATATGATGAGATTAAGATAGACAGATAAATAGGGATATATTATAACAAAGTATATAAAGTAAGATAAATAGATGAGAAGGCTGGTATGGATAGATAGATATGAGTAGACTGAGAGAGATATGGTCAGATTAAGATAGATAGAAGCATAGACAGAAACATAAGAGCAGATTTAGATCAATAGATATGAGCAGATTAAGATAAAAAGATATAACTAATAAACAGAGATAACCAAATTTATATACAAAGATATTAGCAGCTTGAGATAAATACGAATAGATTCGGAATGGTAAATGATTAATTTGTAAAGTAAACAACAATTTAGACAAAAACTGATCAATATATATATATATATATATATATATATATATATATATATAAATGTATATATGGGCAGCAACCTTTCTTTTAAACAACTTTCATTAAATGTGACAGACAAGGAAAATTTAATTAATTTTTATTTAGTTTTTCCACCATTCTTACATTTTCTGTTTGGTTGGAATAAGGGAGTGCAAAAATTGTCCATATTATCCATTGTCCTTGGAGCTTTTGGCC